CGGGGAGGGGAGACATTGCAAAACAGATCTGTCTGCTTCCTAAGCCTGAGTACCTGGCCCCACACCTTCCTTCCTGAGCAAAGGAGGTACAATGGCTGGCTGGCTGGCTAACTGGCAGAGAGGCAGGCCCTAACATGTTGTGCTGCTCAGGGAAGAAACTTGCACAAGGCTTTTACCTGCTCATTATCTGTGATTCACCTGTGATGCTACCTTCCGCTTCCACACTAGGACATGCTTCAAAGAGAAGTGGGTTAAGAAGAAAACTATTTTCTTTAATCTGAAAGTCAGGCTGGCAGCTTGGGAGGATGGCTGAGTCAGTGGCTGCAGGAAGAGGTGGAGAAAGTAATGGGTCTGATTCACCAGCATTTCTTACCTTATTCAGTGACGAAAAAGGTACCTGACATTTATTTGGATGCTTTGATGGAATGCACCAGAGGAAGGAAAGAGAGAAAAAGCCTTCCTGCTTTCTGAGCTGGAAAAGAAGATGCTGCCCGAAGTGTGTTCAGATAGATGGTATGAAAATAATCATAGGGTTGACTGGGGTCTTAGAGGTTGTCTACTCTAACCCACCCATTCATCCACAATCAGTTCAGGAATCCAGCTCTAGGTGAAGAAGTATATGACTCCATCTTGATCAGGGATGATAGGAATTGTTGTCCAATTCAGTGAAGGAACACTAAGTTGCAAAGGCTGCTCTAGATGCTTTCTCAGAGTTTGATTGAAAGCCCCCTGTGAGGGCACGCACTGAACTCCCCAACTTTGTGCCATACTGTTTAATCTCCTGGTATGATCTAAGTGACAAAGAAACATAGTTCACATTATGTCTTTGCCAATGTTTATTCTTTGCCCTCAGAATTTAAAGCATTCGTGGTATGTTAATCTCTAAATGTGTTGGGACCATTAATTCCCAGAATCTCTATGCAATGTGGCTAATGGTAATCCTGGGAGTTATATTCACACAACTAAAAGGCACCTGCTGTGACCTTTGCTCTACGTGATGTTAAGGGGTCCCAAGAAGGATGGTAAGTCCCAGAACCAGATCAAACATAAGAAACCTGATTAAAAAATACAAGCTCAACTCATAACTCAGATTTGGGTGGAGCAGTGAATCTTAAACTGGAGGTATTTGTAGCCTAATTCAGCAAGAATTTTTTAAACTATAGCTTGATAGCTGATGCCTTAATTAAAAACAACCTCTCCCATGACATATGTTTTAAAGTAAATTTGTAAAGTAAAATACCTTTTTAAAAACATTTCTTTGATCCTTAGGAATCATAAACCAGGCAATGCATCTTATCCTCAAATGACTATGCCTGGAAGTGAACTATTAAAATCCCTGAGTGGTAAGCTTTGATGGAAAATGCTAGCACGCCCTGGACTGCAGCCATGTAAACATGCTACTGTAGTAATCATAATAGTAAGACTATTAGTAATAGTAATCAGAATCTAAGACTAAGATTCTGAGGAGAATCGATGGGTGCTTATTTATTATAGATCGATTGCTGTTTTTTCATGTTGCTACCTGCTGCCTGAGACACGGAGTTTCCACACCATGGAATTTCTTTTGTTTTGTAGATACAATAACTGTATTTTCTCTATAGGTATTCACTTTTTGTTGAAGAAAGAATTACATACTACAAATATGCTATGCATTTTGAGTGTATGTGGCTTGCATTCATGCCAACTTTATTTCATAGTTCTAGCAATATCTGATAAGATATTGGCGCACCAACTGGACATGCTGGAAGTAAATTTCAATTTTGGGATTCTGAAGATGTAGCCAAGATTCTTGAATCTCCTGGTCCCTTACCTGTAGACTAGACTCTTGAAGGAAGAAACTTGAGATTAAATTGTCATCAAAATGTAATGCAGATGCCCTTCATATTCAAGGCCAAGAAACAACAAGCAGCAAGTCAACTCTCACCACTGAAGAGTGGCAGGAAAAAAAAATCAAGTTAACTTATAGAGTTCTTTATAAAGCTAGGATTCCTCAATAGCTGATCTTTATTATTAGGGTTTCTCTTGTCTGCTGAGCTTTGTTCTCGCGTCTTTTGCTGCTAGCTGCTAAGTGCTGGATAAATTTCTAGAGAAAGATTTACTACTGTGCCTAGATCAGGGCTTTTCAACCTTTTCACCCATTGTACCACTTTTAGGATATGGCAATATCCGAGTACCACCAGTCACCTAGCAAGGTGTCAAAAACTTGATCCCCCCCAAAAAAAAGGAAAAAAGTGATAAAGTACAGGTAGTCCTCGACTTACAACAGTTCGCTTAGTGACTGTTCGAAGTTACAATGGCACTGAAAAATGTGCCCCCCAAGCAAGACGCGTGCCCACCCGGCAGCACTCTTCCTCTGTCCGAGGTTTTCATTGTTATGAGCATTTCTGTTGAGGATTGGCAGTGGGTGTGGGGTGGGGCGTGTTTGGTTTTTATTCCCCCCGTCTGCTGGGTGGTTGCAACAGATTTTGGTCACTTCACATGACCCTGGGATACTGTGACCATCATAAATATGAATCAGTTGCCAAGCATCTGAATGTAAATCATAAGACCCTGGAGATGCTGCAAAATTCCAGCTGATCGGTGCTTCTTCTGGGGCCTGATGCTGATCCTGGTGCTTCCACTGAGCCCTGACAGCCCCGAAGAAGTGCTGATCCTGGTGCTTCCGCTGAGCCCTGACAGCCCTGCAGCTCCAGCCATCTCTCGCTCAGGCTTGTGTGGTGCTGCCACCGGTTCAGCTCATTCCCCTCCCCCGTTACCACTTTTCTAGGATGGTCGCGTACCATCTGCCAGATGCCAATATGTACCACAGTTGGTACCCGTACCACTGGTTGAAAAGCCCTGGCCTAGATGATGCCTGATATCAAGATCAGCTATCTCTACTTTCCATCTCATGGAAGGAGAAAATGCATTCAGGACTCCAGTATTAAACAAATAATTGAACTGTGGAACAGGCCACCAATGCCTTGCTCCAATATCAGAATCATGCAGCAATACCGTTAACCCAGATGATGCATTAGCCCAGTCACTGTCACTACCATGCCCCCCATTTAGCACCCACTGGAGAAACAGCTTTGATTCTAAACCTCTGTTTTCCAGCTGGATAAATATCTTGGCAAAGTTATTTTGTCAATGTGACTTTCTAAGAGATCTTTTAAAGATCTTTTTTAGATCTGACAATGTTCTCATGGACCAATCTTTTTTAAGTTTTAAGTTGCTTCTTGACTGATTGATTATGTGCCATCGTGTCAGTTTTGACTACACCAGTCAAAGAGATAGATGTTCTCCAGAATGGTCTGCCCCACTGCACTCATTGCCACTGTATAGTAATTAGATCCATCTACCATCCACCACTGCGACTTTATTTCTTTTCTCCATTCTATTTTTTGTAATTTTGGGAAAAGACTGCCTTTAAACTTACAACTTCCACATTAATTGTCTGAATTAGCACTACCTGCAAAACTCCAGTACAGGTAGTCTTAGACTTACAACAGTTCATTTAATGACTGTTTGAAGTTACAATGGCACTGAAAAAAGTGACTTATGATCCTTTTTCACACATACAACAGTTGCAGCATCCCCAGGGTCACATGATTTATATTTGAATGCTTTGGTAACCGGTTCATATTTATGATGGTTGCAGTGTGCTTGGGTTATGTGATCTTTATTTTTTGTGACCTTTTGTGCAAAGTCAATGGGGAAGTCAGATGCACTTAAAACCCGTGTTACTAATTTAACAACTGCAGTGTTTCACTTAACAAATGTGGCAAGAAAAGTGGTACAATGGGGCAAAATTCACTTAACAAATTTGTCACTTAGCAACATATATTCTGGACTCAATTCTGGTCATAAATCGAGGGCTACCTGTACCTGAAAGATCACAAACTTGCCATTTACTTATTTATTTATTTTTCACATTTCTCTCAAATAGGGACTGTCTCTGAGCATTACATAAAATTCTTCAGCTTAGCTGTGTTTGACAGGGGGGAAGCACAGACCTCCCGGCTCATTCAGTTCTCTAACATAAGCCTTATGTTGTGGTTCCGGCTAATGAAACATTCCAAAGAACTTCCAGGCATTTATTTTCCTAAAAGTCTTTTATTGTTACAAAATGTCGGCATAGGCACAACGGAGGGTACTAACCACTATACGATCATGGCCATCTGGTACCACTCCTGCAGCCGATTAGGTACTTCTCGATAGAAGGCCTGAGAGAGGTGATTATCTAATCCCTCGATGAAGTAATGTATGAGGGACTGCTCAGGCCACCCCTCTATTCGACCTGCTATCTTGCGGAATTCTCGCACGTACTCCAGGGCAGGCCTCCCAGCTTGTTTTATTTTATGAATTTGTCCTGCTGCTTTGAGGCCAATGGATGGGTCCTCAAATCGTTCTCTCAGACTTAAAAGAAAGCAGTGGGGATCTTCCAATTCGGGGACTTGCTCACTATATAAATTGTTCAGCCATTCAGATGCTTCTCCCTCTAGGTTGGACGCAATGACATTGACCATGGCCCCTGGTTCCGGGTACAGATAGGCCCAGCGTTTCAAGTGAGAACGCACTTGGTTGAGGAAAAAAATCAGCTTCTCTGGATCCCCATCAAAGGTTACATTGGCCAGGAACCACAACATCATGCTAGGATCTAAGTTCTCTTCCTCTGAGCAATTAAATTATCAGCATGTTCCCTCCCTAAATTAGCCATCATATTTCACACTATCCAATTAGTGTGAAGATCAAATGTTTTCTTCCTCTTTCTTTCCAGGGCTTTACCCCCAACGCCCCTTCTGCTCTTTATTAACCCCATATTTACCAGACAATTCTGCTTATTGTCAAAAACAAGAATATACAATATTTGCAGCATTGACACCTTATTTCTGGGTTCAGATTCATGCAACACACTGCTATACCTTATCAGAAATAATTAGACACTCTAGTTAATTTATTAATGACAACTTGCAAAAGAGTTTCATCTCTCCCTTTTCCACTCCAGCAAGTTCTCCTACCTTGTAGCTATTGTTGTCGTTAACTATGAGGGTGGTTCCATATGACCATAGGCTCCTGGACTCTGCAACCATTAGGGATCATTACCTTCTTTTCATCCTCTCTGAACTGCAAAAAGTTGTGTATTATTACCAAATAGGATCTCAGAATGGCTTATAATTTAATTTGCATGAAGGAGAGTTGTGAATATTTAACAGACTTTGTTGCTCAGAATGAGAAGTTTGAATGTATCATGCTGTTATTTCCAGAAGCTTCTCAGTCTTTGTGAGATTTATAAATCGTTTTGTGACTTGTTGAGCCCCGTTTAATCATTTATTTAGATGACTGTTGATCCATTCTGAGGAACTTCTTATAACCAGACATTTGCTTTTTATACAATCCTAGATCCCACCTATTCATTTGGTCTCTAAAATATCACCCCTAATTTTGCCGTGGTGTCACATTTTACAATCCATGTCAGAGTTTGAAGGAAGCTTGCCATTGTTTCCCAGACACCTTTTTCAGTTAAAAGATCCATGATCTTTTTAACATGGAGCTTTGCAGTCCTTGCCCTGTGAAACTCTGGTGACAGAAACAGCAAGATCTTCCTTCACTGAACAAATCTGTACTCAATAACACCAGGACCCATATGAGAGAGTTTGAATGGATGACCTTTGGGTATCCCATTGTTTTCACCCTTCCCCTTGGGAATGGGGAGATTTACATCACAATGGTTTTATATCCCTCTTGGTGAAGAATTCTTACATTGCCAAAATTGTTGAATATTTTGGAGTATTTAAAAGAAATATTAACAGAGCATAAATAAAACTTATTTTCTCCCTATCTTGTAGCCTCTATTCTGCCTTCTTTTCCTCTGACAGTTGGTATAGGGCTGCCTTTTCAATGTGATGCCCTCCAGATGTGCAAACTGCAATTCTTGCCATCTATAACCAGGCTGTGCCTCTTGGCAGCACTACCTAAACCTGAAAGCATAAATAAATTTATATTTAGGCATGCAAAGTGTACATGATCACATGCTGATGTGTAAGTATTCAGTGTGACTTAGAAACACACATGGTAGCAGGAGCACCAGCAGCTGCTGTTCAACAATCAGAGTGTAGGCAAAACTTTTCAGCCATTGATCCAAAATATTTTTTTCAGGAATTGTTCTTAGATCTTGTTGGGAAAAAAATGGCCTCTTTTAGCCAAATCTCAGAAGTGAAAGAGAACAATTTTACAACTAGATTCAGGGAGTAAATTTATTCCATTTATGCAGTAAAAAAAAAAAATCTGCAACTTGATTCCAGTCCTGTATATATATAAAATCAAGAGACAACTAGGGATTAGGCAATATGAGAAAAAAAAAGTGGGGGGAGGAAGAGAGAAAAAACCTCCCCCTTTTCTCAAACCTCCAAAGTCCAGTAGTTGTTCTTGTTTTTGTTTTATTTTTGCTATCTTTTGTGAAAGACATTTATCAGAGATATAGCGTAACACTGAAAGCATAGTTTCCAGGAAGGGAAGGAAGCATTGGGTCACAACACCATTACCACCCTTTTCCAGCAAACAAGCAATGTGTGTTGATAACAAGGCCAGTGGTATGTGCTGCAGAGGAATGTGTGTCAATAGGGGAAGTATATGAACTAGCATGCGCTACTAAAGCTTCAGATTTTTACAATACTTTCCTCTCCAGCAGGGGCTAATGAAAGCAAGCATCTTGGAAGCTAAAGAGAAGACCACATAGAAGAGTCCCCCCCCCCCCTCCACAATGCAAGAATCTGCTCTGTTAAATCAAGAACAATTCAGCTTGGTCTGATTTTCCATTCTGTCAGTATGGTATATCAAGACTCCTTTGACAATTTCCAATTTCAGCAGAATGAGTCTAGCATATCTGTGCTGTTTGCAACTCTCGTGTGATTCTACTAATCAAGCTTACTATTTGTTTAGGCATGCTACAAGGGACAGAAGGACTACATGCATCTAACTTCTGCTGCATTGGTATTGATTGGCTGTGGGAACGCCTGTAGTTCATCTGGGTTAGCAAAGGGGAGAGTTTGTTACATTTCGTGCTAACATTTCATTTTGAGCGACAAGCACACAATTCACAGGGATTTCTGCCCCGAATTGGATACATTATGTGGCACTCTGGTTTTGTACATTGACAATATTCCTTTTTCTATGTGGCCATGCAAAATTTGCAACTGTGCCTTGCAAGAATTATCCAAACAGACCGCTGTAGCCACACTTGTTTGAATAGGTTCAGAGATCTAAGTACTGTACTAGAGGTCAGTGTCATCCATTGTAGGAAAGCATGAATGTGTTCTGTGATGAAATGACAGAATGGTGGATTTGTTTCCCGTTCAGGAAATTGCAAGAATGCAAACAGGAAATCAGTCAGGGATGCACTGATGGACTGTGGCGCCAAAGATCTGGTAAAAATGATACATGTCTACAAGTTGGTAGCATTGCATATTTGTACAGCACTTTCAGCCCTTCTGCACTTATTAGTTCAGTTCCAATGTTCGTGCTGCGCAAATGCTAAAGTCATTTCCAATGGCTAAGTTCTTTGTTTTCTATACCATGTATTTGTTTTTTAGGGGGAGCTTTAAAATTTTGTACAATTATCTATCTATCTATACAACTAAGGAGATCATCAGAAAAGGTAAGAAGGAGCCAGGTCTCTGCTTCAATACTGTAATATGAGTTTTGCACGGGAATGATATGTACCATGTTTCTCCGAAAATAAGACCCAACTGGAAAATAAGCCCTAGCATGATTTTTCAGGATGCTTGTAATATAAGCCCCACCCCAAAAATAAGCCCCAGTGAAGCTCATTAGCCAGATGGAAGCATTTAGTAACATATGTCCCCCCCCAAATAAGACCTAACCGGAAAATAAGCCCTTTTGGAGCAAAAATTAATATAAGACTGGGTCTTATTTTCAGGGAAACATGGGTAGCTATTGCATTTTGCATGTGTTTTAGGTAATGTTGCCCCACTGCAGAACTAACTTTTCCAACTGATAGGTAAACTATTGAAATTGAACAGAATTGCTAAGAAATTCTGATTCTCTCTCCTGTGCCTGCAAGTTCATTTACTAGATATGTTAACTTTAAAGGTAGCAAATATTTTGCAGCTACAATCAGCCTAACTTGGTTACTGTTTGCATCATAACTAGAACTCCCTCCTGACTAGCTAACATTTCAGAATGGTTTTAGAAATCACCTTTGCTTTTATATTAGAATATAGTAACTCATGACTCTGTTCATCTAATCAAGTGGATTATAGTTCATAGAAGCTTACATTATTATAAATATATCTTTGGCCTTGCTGATGTCACAAGACTTTATTGACTTTACTGCAGTGGGAATGATGAAGGACATCCCTTCTTTTAATTAAAAAAGAAGACAGCTACTCACTAGTAGAAGTAAAAATTATTTGTTTGTTTGTTAAAATTAATTTGCCGCCTATCTCACCATGGCATTACTCTAGGCAGCTAACAATAATCATTCAGTGTTATACAAGCATTCACAAATTATGTATCCTGAACTAAAATTCACCATAAAAACATTTCAGTTGAACTATCTACGCATGTGAAAGAAAAGGGGATAAGGGGATAGATAACAAAATTTGAATATTCTTCTCACAGACAAAGCAAAACAAAACTTGATCAGATTGCTGGAAATCCCTCTTTGTCCCTCTGTCAGAAAAAGACTAATTCTAATGTTGATAAATGATATCAGTAAGAACACTTTCTGTTCCAACAGAACTTCCTCCTTTGTAATTCCCACATTCTCTCCCTATTGTCAATACTCAGAAACACTAATTATCATTTGTAATCTATCATCCCCTCCACCTCCCCACCTCCCCAAGGCACAAAAGGAAAAAAAACCCTTTCAAGCTGGAATCCATGGCTCTCCTCCTATTTTATCTTCCCAACTATCCTAAAGATAAGCTCTGCCTGGCTAGTACTTTTCACCGCTCTGCAGGAATCTGAATTTTAACAGAATAACAGAGTTGGAGGTCTTCTAGTCTAACCCTCTGCTCAAGCAGGAGACCTATACCATTTCAGACAAATGGCTGCCCAATTTCTTCTTTAAAACCACCAGTGTTGGAACATCGACAATTTCTGGAGGCAAGTGGTTCCACTGGTTAAGTGTTCTCACTGCCAGAAAGTTTATCCTTAGTTCTAGGTTGGTTCTCTCCTTGATTAATTTCCATCCATTGGTTCTTGTCCTGCCTTCTGGTGCTTTGGAAAATAAGGTGACCCTCTCTTCTTTGTGGCAGCCCCTTTGATATTGGAACACTGATTTCAACTTTGTCTCCCTAAGCATTGTAATACATATCCTAAGTACTGTACAACAATTTCCTGTACAACATATGGCTTATCCCTAAGAAACAGCATCTTGGTCACTGAATAAGATAATTGCTGCCTTTTCCCCCTTCTTCCATTCCTCTTTTTCCACCCCTCCCCCAGTCATAATTTATCACGTGAGAACAAGACAAATCCTGGTCTTAGCACTGGTTGACAATTTGCACAACTGATCCATGGCTCATATGTGATATTAAAATATTGATTTTGATGATTGGGTAAGTATATTGTTCACACATTAATGAAAATTGACTATAATTAAAATAAACTGACCCCCAGTACATGTTTGTCTCTTTTCTCCAAGATACAAAGGGTCAGTTTAGAATAATGCAGAATATTTGTGATCTGGGCATCTCTTATTTAAAGAAAGAATTTGTTTTTAAAAAGTTGCTGTTTAAAGGAAGGTTTATCAGAAATTTTCAAATATTTGATTGACTGCTGTGCAGAATATGAGACAGCTTCATTCTTCACTGTTTAGAATAGTATGACTAATTAATAAGGAAATAATTTCCAGTTAAGCATTAGGAAAAAACAGTTTAATACAGTAGTGAGATGGAATGCCCTGGGAATTCATGGTACTTAACCAAAACTATGTAGTCATCTGTCAAAGATGCTGTAGTTGCAAGATTCCTGCACTAGTTCCAAGGGCTGGACAAGATAACTTTCAACATCTCTAAAATGTTATGACTACACAAATAATAATCCTTCCCTCCCTGAAAACCATCTCCAACATCTCAAATCTCAGGAAACATGCTAGCAGAAAGTCCAAAGATGGAGTCTACATTTGTGACTGACGGGTTTCAGTTCTTCAGAATATTCAGTCCTAGTCCAGAAATCAATCTAGCTTTGGTATGAGGGCAGGGGATGGGGAGATAACTTGCACACTGGGGAAAGCTACTATTAACATAAAAATGTAAAGAGAAAGAGAAGCAGTTTCCTACAGTGGTTAAATATGCTGCCCTAGAACTTTCGGAGATGAGTTTTAATCCTACCTTAGGCACAAAAGCTGAGTGACTTTGGACTGATTACTCTCCCTCAGCCCTAGGATGAAAGCAAGAGTAAACCACTTCTGAAAATACTGCCAAGTAAATTCTGTGGACTTGGCCATATAATTGCCAGGAGTCAAAACTGACTCAAAAAACCAACTGACTGACTGAATAAGAGGAATAGGTAATGATTCCATCTTGCATGATGGAAAAAAGATTGCTCATTTCACGGGAGGTATCTAAAAAAGTCAAGATGGCAGCTGCAAATATATGATTGAAGCCCTGCACTTTGTTTCATAGGTGACACATGCATCACACATAAAAAGGTGGGGGTAGGGCCTTGATTCATGATCATAGCCACCATTTTGACTTTGTTTTAACTACCCCTACACCCTGAAGCCAGCTTCCCTAATCCACCCATTATCCCATAACATAGGATGGTCATCAGCTATCTTTTAATATTGTAGATCTGTAAATTAGGTGTATCAGCATATTTTTTTGCAGAAATGGATGCCATTCAATAAGCATGATCTATTTTGTGCCTATATAACAAATAACTTAACTTTTGTAAAATATTTTTATGGGTCAACAATGCTTTGGAAACATTTTACTCCTTATAATTTTTATAACCTGTAAGTCAAGTCAGTATCGGTATCTCTTATATTGCAGGGAACAAGTAGCAAAAACCACCTAGTGCCATCGTGACAGAAGCAAAATTCATGAATTTTTGGTCCATAATTTAAGTCAGCTATTATGCTGCAATAGTTTCTGGCATCATAGAGACAGTTCTTGTGTTCTTCTATATTGGGAGGAATGCACCCATGACTGTGTGTCTTCCACCCTTTGATTAGGAATTAGAAAGGCTGACACCTCACCATACTCCATGCTTGCTAGTAAATTTCTAAAAATGGTTTGCAAGGGCTGAATTTATTTTTTAATTGAAGCAATTTGCAAGCCCCAGGAGATGTGGTAGGCTTAATATAAATATTCCTGAAATACTAGTTAAAACTTCTTCTAGATCAGGAATTGGTTTTTTGTTTTTTGTTTTTTGCTTTCTTACAACAAACACCATCAGAATGGTTAGACCAGCATTCGTTTAAAGAATTATTGAGGTCTGGAGCATAACTTTAGGATTGGTAGGTTTTAAGCAGTGAAATTGATAGTTTAACATCCCTCCCTTCATTTTGTGATGAAACAATGTTTTCCCATATCTGCATACTGAGCTTGGCATATATAGATGTCCATATAGTTAATAGACACAACACAGAGCAACAAAAAATGACTTCTACTTAGTTGCTATAAAAGAATTAGAACAGCATACAGTAGAGAAGCTGGTCACTCTGAGCTAGATGTAAACCAGCTTTCACCATGATCTAAGAGTTATAGTGGTCTAAACCAGGAAAGTATTTTGGGTGCATAAATATTTTCTTCATTTTACTGTCTCAAATTTTGGAGCAGTGATGCCTTCTCATTGCCCCCAATATAACTAAGAGTTTGTTCTTCAGAATTCACTCTTTTGAAGCATATTCAACCAAGCCAGCCAACTAAACAAGCTGTAATTTCTGCAGACAGATGTTGTCCTTCTCTGTCCTTAGTTGCTCAATAATACTGATGGTGTGAATTCTGACCCAGTTATTAAAGTTTTTCTTTCAGTTTGTTCTTATATAGCTTTCCAATACAATCTTAATCATTAATTCATTCTCTCTGATTTCTTTCCTTAAATATCAGAAAGGTTCTCTGCTTGTTGAAGAGAGGATGCTCCTGAAATTACAATAATCACTGAAGTATCAACATTATTATATCTCTTGGGTGAGCCTATCTTCAACCCATGTTTTTTTGTAGTTCCTAGAAGTCTCTTTCATTCTACTGCAAAATTTTGGGTTTCAAACATTAATCTAGTTTAAAGAGATTTCCCCCAACCCTCCGCATACTGAGAAATACTGACAGAGCCTATATGCATGATATAGTCCCATCCACTTTGTATTTTCATTCTATATGTTGAAATTTCCCCAAAAGCTCACACACCAGCTCTTATCCTACTAAATTGCAGATTGATTACAAGAACGGAAAAAGCAGCTCTTTCATCAACCATCACCTAATGTTCCAGAAAGGTAAAACAATAAAATAGTTTCCTAGTGAGCAGGAAATTCCCTTTTCTGAAAGGTGGATAATGATTGCGAAAGAAGATTTGGAGACATGTCAGCATCAGCCTTCTATTGTCCTTACCCATTTGTGGAATTTTACAGTGAGTTCAAATGAGGTTGTCTTCCATGATCAATGCATGATCAGTGCTTGTACTGAAATGCCCCCTCCTTCCTGTTAATCCCATGACATTGGTAATTGTGAGAGACTTCAGTAGCCTGCATATATCGATAAAGACTGCTTCAGGACAGTGGCTACCTCTTGTGAGTAAGCAGCCTTGGCACTAGAAGAAATTCTTGCCTCACCCCCAATTCATACCTTCAAGGATCCCATTATAATGATCCAATTAGGTAAAGGAGTACAAAGGCATAAGGAGTAATGGAGGCAAAGAGGGGGAAGGGATGTGTATTCAAAATTGATTTCAGGGGCCAGGGGAAGATGGTTTTTTGGTCAATTGGTTGGCAATATTCCACATTTGGTGCTTGGCATGAAGGGGCAAGACTTGATTGGGTGGTTCTCTGTATATGATCTGTAGTGCAAACATATAAACATATCCATAACCATAAAGTGCTGTTGCCCAAATATAGCTGAAAATAGTTTAAAAATCCAAGTCATTCTCAAGCGCATTTTAATTGGATTCAGAGGTATGGGACATAGAAAAGGTGGCCTTTTGAATGATCCTTAGAAAGAATGTGATTCTCTGTCCAAAGAAAAAGCTTTTTTCTATCAACTAAACAAATGGATAAATAACTTAAGTGGATAAGTTAAATGTTTTCCCTTCTGATTGAATTCAAGCACCAATTAAGAAAATGTACTAGTAAAGTAGCTTTATTTAAAACAGTATGAGTATGATTTTGGCTTTAAGAACATGGTTATTTTATAGAAAACAGGGGAGTTATGCCCAAATATTAATTCAATCTCCATGTCAACAATATAACTTGAAGTTCAGATTATGACTTAAGTCATTGGTATTAGTGCTAGAACATCTGTGCAAATTTTCACCAAAATATAGTATAACTGTTAAGGCAATTTAAAAAAAATGATTATCATGTTCATTGTATTTAATAAATAAATGTGATTAAGCCACATTGAATTTATTGTTGCCTACCCATACATGTCCTAGCCCTGCCTACTTTTTTCTAACTACATGTTTGGCTTTAGCATGTGGATCTGCAGTATGTGGTAAAAAAGATAAGATGATGGCTGCGGCAGCGTGATCAAACCAATGGCACATGATGAGCCATGGTGGTGCAGTGGTTAGAATGTAGTATTGCAGGCTAATTCTGCCAACTGCCAGCAGTTCAGCAGTTCGAATCTCTCCAGCTCAAGGTTGACTCAGCCTTCCATCCTTCTGAGGTCGGTAAAGTGAGGACCCAGATTGTTAGGGGCAATATGCTGACTCTGTAAACTGCTTAGAGAGGGCTGTAAAGCAGTATATAATCTAAGTGCTATTGCCCCAAAACAGGCAGAAGTTCAATCACACCATTGTGGCTGCCACCTTGACAATTTTTTTACCATACTCTGATACCTACCTGGCCTCTAGTCTGAAAATCTTGGATCCCTTTGATCTGCATCATTTCCTTGGATATCTGAAAGGAAGGATGAAACTTTGGCTAGGATGGTTTCATTTGAACTCATATGTGAGGGGAAAGCAGAATGCATTCACTGATATCAGGAAACTAAGAGGTGATAAAAGAAATATGATATGCTAAGAAGGCAGGCAAGAAATATGGTTTTATCTCCCTAACCTATTCCTTCTTGCCTTAATGTAAAGAAAGAAGGAAGATACTTGTTTCAGTGAAAACTGACTCAAGTGGAATGTGGAATCATATAAGCAGGAAACCAAGGATGTGATTGTTAATACTGCCCTTATTCTAAAGTTACAGTAAAAGAATCTTGCAAGTCTGAATGTACCTCTCTCCTCCCTACCCTTTCCTTCAAGAGAACTAGGGAGGGTTGGGTCAGTAGCACTTTCTCAAACTACATTCCTGCTTTGAATTCAGATTTCTCTTATCTAATCACTGTTCCTTGCAGCTCTTCTTCCTGTTCCTCAAGTCTATTCTCACAATTCATTATATCCAGATGTATATTATATATTAAACTATTCAAGACACTCCTTTTTGCCACAGCTTCTTCTAATATCTAGTGGGATGATTTCATCAGAAGAACAAAAGATCCCACTTCCTGATGCAACAGGTTGGAAAAATCAATGCAGATGACAACACATACCCAAGGGCCTTTAAAAGTAGCTGTGGAAGCAAAGATTACCCCAGTATCTCCATCTTAATAGGAATTCTGAGCATCCCTATCTCTCCGAGGAAAGCAGAATTTCAGAGTGATTGCCTTACCTCCAACTAAATTGCTATTGAATCAGCGTTTGTTTTGTTTTGCCCAGGCAAAACAGTTGCTTCAGTTTCTACCCCCTCACACTGCACACCTGGGGTTTGGATTCCTTCTGTCTGTGCAGTAGTTAATCAAGTACAAGGAGGAAAGAAAAAAAATGAGGGGGGAATAAATGAAGCAACTGTTATAACAGCATCCTGTATCTAGGAAACCAGCCGAGGGAATTCTCTTGTTTTGGTCCTGGAGCTGAACAGGAGTCACTCTCAGCTGGATGTTGTATAGCATTGTCGTAACCTGCTGAGAGTCCAGTTGGAGGGGATCATTGGATTGTGATTCACGAGAGGCCAGGCATAATGCTCTGCTTGTTGGATTTTGTGCTGACATTTCAGAAGCAAGTTTCAGGGAGGTCACAGACATACTTTGGAGATATAGAGAACTTCAATCTCTTTCGTCCTGCATGGTTGTCCCTGGCTGGCAGCAATTCCCCAAAAGTAACTGAACAGGCCAACAGTTGAAGCTGGATCTGCATGTCAAGGAAATGCTCTATGATAATCAAGCAGACAAAGTTTATTTCCCTATTAGGACAGAGAATGTGTTGAGAGGCAGCTGGCTCCTGTTCAGGAAAGCAGCCACTGTGAGGCTGATAGGAGACAGAGAAGGACAGGTTGCTTGGCCAAAAGCCCTGGGACTCCATTTTTGCTTCCAGGATAGCAAAGGCTGTCCTTGCTCAATAGCATCGGGATGGGACAATGCAAGGGGATCAGGTATGGGCCATGCCTGAAATGTTACATCCCAATGCCATAAAATTTGTACCAGATCACAATGTACTAGCTTGCAACCTGACTATATAACGTCAATCATTATTCTCCAATTTCAAACCATGGGACCAGGCTGCTTCCTCTTCCAGGCTGAAATTGAGCAATAAATCAAGTACAAATGCCTTTTGCTGCTAGCTCCTGCTAATTAATACTCAGGCTTACCTTCACACTTCCACACTTCACATTATTTTACAGAGGCCTGGAAGCCCAGTGTGGACATTCAGTATTATGAGATAAAGAAGTCAATGCTGGATGCAAACAGCAAGCACACATACAGGGGCTAAAATATCTCTGCGCTGCCTCTGTGATTTTTCTGTGTTTGTTTTGTTTTGCCTTTCATTTTCAGAATACTGTATTCTTTTGTGTGTGTGCCAAACCCTCTTAAAACTGAAATAACAAATATATGTAAAAGGACATGTCATCCTCTCTTCTAAATGTTTTAGCATCTGTCCATGTAAAGATAAAGTTACTCCAACTTGCAGAATGCAAGTAAAGTACACAAATACAAAATATTGTGTGGTTTCAAGAATTCCCTCCTAGCACCCCAGCCTTTCCACTTTAGGTTATGAATCAGTGGAGAGGTTAAAGAGTAGGTAATAGCAGCAAGAAAGAGGAAGTATCACACTTTTGATCACATTTCCCACGGGAGAATTGTGTTGTGCTCACTCTCATTGAGTAGTATTAGTGATTAAACTGGGAGAATTATATGTTCATTCCCAAAGGAAAACTTTTGCTCAGCGTCCTCCTCCCCCTGTTTTCTGCTAATGATCTGATCCTTTTTTAGAATGGTCAAGTAGAAGAAAACATGTTCTCACGTGCCTTGCTTTCTCTATGTGATCTCTCAAGGACCTTGGCTAGATTGAAGTATGGTCAGAACAGAAAAAGCTGGAAAAAAAACTTTACCCTACCTTCCTCCCTCCAGCCCATAATCTCCGGGACCTGTTGGCCTAAGGCAGAGGAACAGGCTTTCCCATGATCAGGAAGGTCAGCATTCCTGTTTGTGCTCACAAAGCCAGGAATCTGGAGAATGCACCTGAGAAATGAGCAATTCTTTTCATTCCAGGAGGCGGTATTAAGAGATGCAGAATGCTGCCTGGGGCAAGCTCAACTTCAGTTGGTAAAGAAGCAGAATCCCCATCTGCCTGACCTGCAAAGATCTGCTTTTTGTAAATTGCTTTTGGAAAAGCTTGACTAGGAAAAGGAACTACTAGGAGATTCATTAGCTCTCAGTTCATAGAAGCAGATGCTCCAGAGTGGACATGACACCACTTCCTAGCCTTGTCTGATCTATCCGGAGTTGTGCCATCTGCCCTTTGGTACTGCTTTAACAAAGGAGAGTCCAATGATGTCATTTTTCATAAAAATGACACTTTTTTTGCCCATTGTTGTATGTATTTCTAAGGAGAGGGTAGCCATCCACTATAGAAGTAAGAGCCTTTCCTTTAAAGACATTTTAAGGGGGAAGCCTTTCTACTGCACATTTAAATTGTGTACTCTTTTCAGCAACCAAAGGTTGAATGGATGTTGGTAATGCCATCACCATATGACTGGAAGAGGAAGGGCACCTGCTTTAGGAGACTTGTTTTAAAGAAAATGCTGTAAATGGCATTAAACTTCTCAGAGGCTTAAAATATTTTTCTCTTTTTATTTTCCAAGAGTTCCATGGGAGCAAAATTCATGAACTTTGGTGCCACAATATCAAGTACTACAATAAAGGACCTGTTCATCACTTGATGTGGCCTGTGTGTTCCTGGAAAAGTGGTTGCATGTAGTCTTCAAAGAATAATACACGGGTCAGTTGGATGTCCCCTCAGTGAGGTACAGTGCAATGTATGCTTTTCATCTTTTTGAAATACTTTGGGACATTCCAGGATCCCAGAACTTTCTCTACTTTCCCAGGATCTCACTGGAAGCTCAAAGGCTTTTTTGCAACAGGAAAACTTTCTTCCTTTGAGAAAGCTTGGAAGAGGCCCTTTACTCAAAGCATTATCAAGGTAAAATTTCTTTTCAGAGCTCGCAGAGCTGTAAAACCAAACATAGGAAGAATATGTACCGTATGTGGAAAGGCAGAACAAGCAAACTTACCATTTTTCTTTCTTCAGTTTGATAAAGTAGAATCATCGAAGCAATTGACTGTTTTCTCCTGTGAGTGGACAAAGCTAGTTCCTGTGTTGTGATTCTGTATTCCCCCCCCCTCTTTTTTCCTGCTTTATCCAACCCTAAGAATGATTCTTCCCAGAAACATGGGTGTATGTCATAGTTAAACAGTTGCAAAATGTCATACAGCTTATTGGCTATAGAATGTAATTTCTGGGGAATCCTGGATTTCCTCTATTTCATTTTAAATAAATGTTATACATGTTGTGGCTGCAAAACATAGGCTCCACAGTGGAAAACAGCTCAGCTGAAATCTTAGAAATCAAAGGCTTTTTTACAGGATAAGTAAAAATGCCTGCAGTCAGATGGGCAATACAGTTCCTTGTGTAGTTCTGCCTTTTTCCTAAATGAGGAAAAGTGGAAATGGTTATATACAATGGAACTACTCTTGTATATTTACACAATTGCCAGAATTCAGTGTGTTTCTGCTTTTGCTGCAGAATTAAAAGATTTCACCAACCCAGCTTATAAGAGCCACATAGGAAAACTATATTGAGGGATATGGGTGTATGCGATTTCTGTAACAGAACTATAATGGGCAATGTGTCACAGAATTGAATGCTGTAAGAAAAGTGTCATTATTATAACACTCTTTGTCCTGGGTATCCTTATAAAATCCCAAAAAGAAACTAAATCTCTAACATCTAAAACATTAGAGACAATAATATTTCAGTGAGAAATTCTGGGGACAAAGAGGAAGTTTCTGTAGGAAGTTTTCAATAATGTGGCTTTCAGAAGAACAAGCTAGATGACGCAAGAGAGAATGAAACCACACAGTTCTTAGATGACACAGATCATCTGCAAATACAGTCTCAAAACAACATGAAACCAGCTCCAAAGCCAATGATAGATTTTAAAAAATCTTTAGACCAAAGCTTTCTTTGCATATTAGCATCAGGTTTCATATATCAGGCTGCTGCCTATATTGTATTAACATAGCTTTACAAGTCCATGTTTATTCAAGTCTTGGATGCATTCTCAAGATATGACATTTTTCTTTTGAACCTCCTAGTTAATTAGTATTTAAAATCTAATTTGTCTTCCCCTCTGCCTTACCACAATATCCAAATTGGCCTTAAAATGGTTAGGTGAGGCAAAAGTCCCTCTAACCCTGAAGACATTTGACCTCTTGTGGTCAATCCATGCTAAATTCTAATAATTACAGAAAGATCTCCAAGATCCTTATAGATTGATAACTCTCTGGATTTTGATTATATCATTCATGGAATGCAACTGAACTGAACTTGCTAAGATTCCAAAGTGGAGTAGTAATGATCTTCAAAGGGATGCTTCACTTTCTTGGGAGGTATGCAAGTGATATGCCCCTCTGAATCAACTTCTACAAAGTTGCTCCCTGTTTCAGTTTGTCAAGGCAAAGTTTCAAGTTTCTTTAGGAACTTGATAAATTATGGTAGAGCAAGGTATATTGCAAGGTGAAAAGCCTCATTGAGGGTAAATTGTCTACAGTCTATACATCGCTATTCCAAACATTTTTGTCAAATCAGAGCTTTGCTAAGAAATTATGTTTCTTTTCTTTGAAACAAAGTAGGTTATAATATTTATTTCTCTGTTTTGGCATCTACATGCTCAATATACTGAAAAAGCTTAGTGGACTCTGTGATTGGCTAGTACTGGGCTGGCCTAATGAAAAGAAAGATAGGGCTCCTATGCCAGTAAGAAGACATTTTAAGCAATTCCAGTAATTTTTTGTTTTCTGTTTTCTTTTGCATTTGTTCATACTAGCCATTGGGTCTTCTTCACCATATGCCCTGGAAACTTTTTTTTCTCTCCCATATCTTCATCCCAGTCCAACCCATATCTCAGGGAGTTTAAAGCTGTCTTTACCTGTTCCAGTATTAAGGTTAAATTTTTGCCATAGATGTGATCCAGCATGATTCATTCCAGCAGTTAAGTGCTCAGTGATAGTTGCAGATTGGATCCTGCCCAGATTTTTATTGATCACTTTAATATAAGCATGCTGGGTACTGTTCTCCAGAGCCATTTTGGCTTGGGCTACAAGAGAGACATGGTATCTGGCTTCTGAAGAAACATTGGTCTACATAATTTCAAATCAGCATTTTCAATAACAATTAACAGGTCTTAAACATGATTTTATCTTCTGTAAGAGCATAATCAGTGCTAGGAAAGACAACTACATTCTGTTAGCAATATGCATTATTGTTTTTGTTTTTCTACAGTACTGATAGCCATATTGTTTTACTTTGTTTAAAAAAACTCTGAAAAGCATGTGTTCAGAAATAACCTGGTTGATGAGTTATAGTACAGATGTGAAGAGTTGATAAGAGCATCAACATTGTTCCTTACTACATCACCTAGTTCTCTCCACT